GGACAATACTTAGGTAATTCCACATATCAAATTTAATTCATTTCAGTTGACGGTTTTGAAGTTATTAAAGAAACCCTCGAGGAAAACATATTATTTTATAGAAGACCCTCTTAAATTGCGGTCCTGTGTATGATATTCCATTTTTGGTCACGACTTGTAAATTACCCTGTATGTAATGTAGGGACAGTTTTGTTTCAGCTTTTACATATATATTCTAACTTGATGTCTGATCTGAATAATGGTGGGTGCGTTAGGATACATCTTTTTGAAAAATGGTGAATGCGTATAGGATCATCTACTTGAAAATGGTGGATGTGCATACCAAAATGTGCTGGGACTCTCACCATTTACGTAAAATAATATGTATAGGCATATACAGGGTGACTTCGAACTTGAGTCATTTATTTTAACAGTGAGTAGATCTGATCAAAAGAAATGTTTTTTCCTTTACCATTTGTCTGGTAAAATTAAAGTAACAAAGTTATAGCCCTTTGGAAGTTTGAGTACCGCCCTGTCTCAATCATAATATTATGTGCTCGTGTTTGGCAACAACGGATATAATCCGCCTTATCGGTTCATCGCATCGGAAACAAAAAAGCGAAAGAATTTGGAACGATGTTTTTACAATTATTTTATTCCGTTGTATACAGTCAGTGTCAGTCGGTAACGCGTGAGTGAATAGTGGTGACTGTTGCGTGGCTCAAACGAAATCAAAAATGGCACATGTTTATACGGATCGGTTTCCCAATCGAGTTCAACCAACCCCTCGTGCCTTTGTTAATGTAGTACAACGGGCTCGTGAATCAGGTGACTTAAGACCTCACAGGCGACGGCATGCCGGTGCTCCAAGACCTCACGATCAAATACAGGTCCGCACTGAAATACTTGTCGGGAGGATACCTTATAAAACAAGGTAAAATTTTTTTTTTATTTTTACACACATATTTTGGTTTATCTTCCTTCTACAATCATTATCTGAAAATTAATGACTCAACTGCAAAGTCACCCTGTATACATGGTGTTCCTTAATGATATGCGAATATTTAAGGGTGTGAATCTACATGAAAAATTAATGTTAGTTAGCTTTATAAACTATGGTCCAAAAATGTTTCGTTGCAAAAACTCTAGGAAGTTTTAGGAAAAAAACTGAAATTAATTAATATTTTCAGAACCACTTCAGATATTTCACTGATATTTAGTACGTAGTGAGAGGTAATAAAGCTGCATATTTTTTCAATCCACAAATAATTTTTAGCTTAAACAGTGGCGTGCGTACGGGTATTGACCTCGATATTTTTTAAGAAGAAATTGGTACGCCAATGGTTTTTTGCCAAACAAAAATTATTTTCAAATTCGCCGTTCAATTTAAAAACAAATGATCTTTCTCGAGTTGCTATTCTTCCATGCGTCATTTTTGAGTAAAAAAAAATAAAAACCGTTCTATTGTCTAACTTGCAAAGTTACTATTAATTTAATTGGAGATATTAAACACATTAGGGGTAATGAACAACAACAACTGACAACATAAACATAACATTAAAACCAACGAACTGATTACAAAAATTGTTGAAAGTGACCACCTTCATTTAATATGCATGCTTCCGCCCTCCTTCTCATGGAATTGCGCACTCGTTGAAATATCCCTGGAGTGTGTTTTATTCTATCACAAGCTACAATTATTCTTTCTCTTAATTCCTCTACAGTGTTAATGGGACTTGTGTACACTAGTGTCTTAAGATGGTATCACAAAAAGAAATCTAAACTGTTGAGGTCTAGGGACCTTGGTGGCCATTCCTGGGGCCTACCGCAGCCAATCCAACGATATGGATAAACAGCTTGTAAATGGGTTTCGGTTACGGCATTTAATAACTTTCACTACGTACTGAATATCAGCGAAATATCTGAAGCGGTTCTGAAAATATTAATTAGTTTCCATTTTTTTCATAAAACTTCAACACCCCGAGTTTTTGTAAGGAAACATTTTTTAACCATAGTTTATAAAGCAAACTAACATTAATTTTTCATGTGGATTCACACCCTTAAATATTCGCATATCATTAAGGAACACCCTGTATACAATAGGCTTATTCTTTTTTTATTTTTAAACTTCAACACCCCGTATCTTTTCAATGCAGCACTCGAGGAAAAAATGTTATATAGAAGACCCCCCCCCCCCTTAAAGTGCGGTGTATGATGTTTCATTTTTGGTCACGACTTGGGAATTACCCTGTATATGCAAAAACCTGACAAAAATCGGAAAAAACGAAGTCTTGGAAATGAACGAAAGTTATTCACTATTTTAAAGTTGATACCTTGAATATATATATATATATATATATATTGTATATATATACAGGGTTATCCAAATTAAGTGTCCACCATTAGTAACTTTGTTATTAGTGAAAATACAAAGTTGTTTGAATTAGCAAACTAGTAGCATTTTTAACGCTGGTAAAAATGAGAAATAAAAAAAAACAATTGAGAGTCGTTATTTTGATTTTTTTCAGTAAAATAACATTTTTTCAAATGGAAACCCCTGTATATTATATTTTTTTCTGTTAAAGCATCAAATTTTAAACAAAAAAGCTTACAATAACTTTTCTCCTAGGTTACAAATTGTTGAAGTTATGGCCTCCAATCTGAAACAATTAAATTGTATCGACAAACTTTATTTTCAACATCAACTTATAATCTTACAAAATACAATAACAATTTTTTTTAAAGAAGATGCTCGAAAACACCACCTTGTTCTTCAATACATTTTTGGGCACGTTTTTCAACTGCTCGAACTGTCTTAAGTATGGTCCTACCATCTATCTGGGTTATCTTTTCCCTAACTGCAGTCTTTAACGCGTCAAGGTTATCGTACCTTCGCTTGTAAATTTGGTTCTTTAAGTAACCCCACAAGAAGTAATCAAGTGGGTTTAGATCTGGTGATCTGGGAGGCCACTGTATTGGGCCATTTGTTCCTATCCACTGATCATTAAAAGTAGTACTTAGAAAATGATAAGTACCTCTGGAGTTGTGGGCAGGTGCGCCATCTTGCTGAAAATGCAGATGATATCTACTTATAAGATCCAATTCGTCTAAGAAATTAGTCAGAATTTCTGACATAAATTCCACATATCTTTCACCAGTTAGGGTTCCCTCATAACAATTTTTGAACCAATTATACCGCACCAAACGTTGAAACTGAAACGGACTTGTGGGCCTCTTGGATGTACTAACAAAAGATTTTCTCTTGACCAATAATGGTGGTTTTTTCTATTAGACATTCCAGAATTTGAAAAATTTGATTCATCTGTCCATAAAAGGTAACGAAAGTTATTTACATTTTGGCGACAGAAGCTAAGATACCAATGGCAAAAAACAAGTCTTCTCTCTGGATCCCCTGCCAAAAGCGTTTGAACTGGTCGGTACTTATACGGAATAAATTTGTATTTTTTTAAAATCCTTTGAACAGTACCATAACTTAGAGTCCTTGAGAATATCTGCTATTGAATTCTCACGATAAGCTTCAAAATATCCAATAACTGCAATTTCCGTGGCCTCGCTTATTATGAATTCTTTTTTTGCCCTTGTTTTAGCAAAAACATTTTCGTTGCCCCTAAATTTTCGATAAAGTCTCAGAAAATATCGTTCATACGGTTGAATGCGAGCGAGATATAATTCACTGTAGTATTCTCTTGCTCTCAAGGAGGATTTTCTGCACACTAAATAGCATTCTAACATATCACACTTTTCTTCATGGGAGAACATTTTTCTTTAAATTAATGACACAATAAAGCTTATAAACAAGTATTTACACTAATGTTTGACATTATTTGATTTTATCATTGTTTTCCAAAGCCTTCTAGTTGCGAGTATGTCCAGTTTAACAATTTGTCGCTTATCTTAATGCTGTCAAATCGCGAACGCCATGTTGTTTTCATAGCCGTCTTAATATTATAATACTGCAAATAATTAAAAATATTTATCGTTATTTTGACTTTATTTTTGACTTTAGCGGAAAAGTCATTATGAACTTTTTTGTTTAAAATTTGATGCTTTAACAGAAAAAAATATAATATACAGGGGTTTCCATTTAAAAAAATGTTATTTTACTGAAAAAAATCAAAATAACGACTCTCAATTGTTTTTTTTATTTCTCATTTTTACCAGCGTTAAAAATGCTACTAGTTTGCTAATTCAAACAACTTTGTATTTTCACTAATAACAAAGTTACTAATGGTGGACACTTAATTTGGATAACCCTGTATATATATATATATATATAAGAAGTCTGCTTACACTACCTTTATCATAGTAAGCTGCAAAACTTGAAGTAAGGCAGGAAGTGTCGCTCCATAGTAACATATTGTTTTGGATGCACCAGACACAGTTCCCTTGCTCGTCGTCCTCAAAACGAAAATCCTCCTCCAAGACCGCGAAACCTTACTCAGACCAGTTTTTGTAACTTACAGGTTGCCTGTTCTGCCTTTTATAATTTTGTTGAGGTAGATCTAAGACCTAGCATTCTAGCAACCATTCCCAAACCAAAGACCTTATCCTGTAGAACAAGCACAGACGCAATATCGCGACTTATCAAAGTTTTGTGAACATTACAACGGAACAGCTGACTGTGAATCCTTTGTTGAGGTTGGTCCATGACACCTCCCAGCATCCGACGGCCCATGATACCCAGACGGAAAACCTATCCACCGATGGGATGCGCATGCCACGCAGCAGCCGCCGCATAGTCCTTCGCCGCGTGTGGCATTTGTAGCACCATCAGTGCTATCGCGGACCCACCGCCGCGACGCTGATGCCCTGACGCGACGCCGGAACGACGGACGTGCTTCGGGCGTTTGCAGGACGCAGAGATCGCGCGACACTCCCACTTTCGGCGCGATCATGGAGCGGTCGATAAGCGACCACGTATCGGAATGCGGACGATCTTCGTCTCGACGAACACTCGTTGCCGTTATATGAATCGGCAACTTTTAGTTGGACTATGCAAAGTTGAAATAAGTTTAGGTTCTTGAATGTTTTGGATTGGACAGCGCTACGTTGTCATTTAAAGGTATGCGTTCTATTATATAACTTTTTTGAACACATGCACGCTTGAGTGAACTAAATATATTGACCCTGTAAGCTTTGCCAGGAAGTTGCTGCAATTATTGATCAACTTTAGTCGCAGTTAATACTAAATACAAATCAATATAGTTTTTCTATATTCAACATAAAGTTTATACGGTATATTTTGGAAGCAACTGAATTATACTATCGGTGTCGCGGTAAACGATAATGAATACTCTATTGCGAATTTGGTCAAGTAATACTGTTGATGGAAGTTGTTCCTTATTAATAAGCTGCTCGTTGCTTTATTTATCCGCAAAAGCCGGTAGTGTTTACGATTGACGTCACTGTTCTATCAACATCAATTATGTTGCTTTATTTCCTTCTTGATCGAATACATTTTATTTTTTTGCGTCGATACGTACCAGGAACTTGAGCAAGTCAACCAAAAGGACTTGATTGTGTATAAAATAGTCACAATGCCACATTGATAATAACTTTGCAGCTGGAAACGAAAATATGTGGGCGTATCCTCAAGACCTTATTCACAATACTTTTTTAGGCATTTGAAATATATTTCTTACTAATGCGTTGAAAGCCAGGTTACCTAAAATTTTTAATGTTCCTTTTCTCAAAAATCGTTTAAAGCAAACATATGTCAGTGCAGTATTCCAAATGGTATATGAAGGATTAGATCATCCGAATAGCTTTGGAATAAAATAGAATTTGTTTTTCATATACGTTATATCACAGTAAAATACTTTGTATCTATGACACTCCCACTTTTTGGTACCGCACCAGTGGTGATCGCTGAGAGACTCGAAACACAGACCTTCTCCAGCAAGTGTTGTGATACATGGATAAATATATTCGCTTGACTTATGGAATATTATCGCGACAGACAAGAATGAAGAGAGAGTGGAAGTCATTTCATGCTGTAAATTGAGTTTAGGATTTGTTAAATATCTTGCAGATCTGTTGCGGAGTTCTTGAATTTACCAAAACGTTATTGATTCAGCAGTATTTGTCCAATGAGTACCTACATCATTTAAAGACAATATTACTAATAACAAGGTCTACTGATGGCTTTAACACTAGGTTGTCCAGATTGCGACAGCGTATTGGATTTTTAGTCCTGGCACAAATACGAAACAGTCCTTATGGTTTGCATAACGCGACGTTGTCATCTAAAAGTTTGCGTTCAATTATATATCTTTTTTGAGCACATGCATTTTTAAATGAACTAAATATGTTGACACTAACAACTCTTCCAGGAACATGCTGCAATTATTCATCAACTTTAGTTGCAGTTAATAATAAATACAAATCAGTATAGTTTTTCTATATTCAAAATAAAGTTCATACGGAATATTTTGGAAGCAACTGAATTATACTATCGGTGTCGCGGTAAACGACAATTATTTATGCTCTATTGCCACTTTGGTCGAATAATACTGTTGATGGAAATTATTCCTTATTAATGAGCTGCTCGTTGCTCTGTTTATCCGCAAAAGCCGGTAGTGTTTACGATTGACGTCACTGTTCTATCATAATAGTTGTTTATGTTGCTTTATCTCCTTCTTGATCGAATACATTTTATTTTTTTGCATCGATACGTACCAGAAACTTGAGCAAGTCAACTAGAAGGACTTGATTGTGTATAAAATAGTCACAATGCCACATTGATAATAACTTTGCAGCTGGAAACGAAAATATGTGGGCGTATCCTTAAGACCTTATAAACAATATTTTTGTAGGCATTTGAAATATATTTCTTACTAACGAGTTGAAAGTCAGGTTACCTAAAATTTTGAATGTTCCTTTTCTCAAAAATCGTTTAAAGCAAACATAAACCACTGCAGTATTCCAAATGGTATGTGAAGGATTAGGTTATCCGAGTAGCTTTGGACTAAAATAGAATTTGTTTTTCATACATGTTACATCGCAGTGAAAGACTTTGTATTTATGGCACTCCCACTTTTTGGTACCGCACCAGTGGTGATCGCTAAGACACTCGAAACACAGACCTTCTCCAGCACGAAGTAAGAGTTGTGATACATGGATAAATATATTCGCTTGACTTATGGAATATTATCGTGACAAACAAGAATGATTTTGAAGAGGGAGTGGAAGTCATTTGATGCTGTAAATTGAGTACAGGGTTTGTTGAATATCTTGCACATCTGTTGCGGAGTACTTGATTTTACCAAAACGTTATTGATTCAGCAGTATTTGTCAAATGAGTACCTACTTCATTCAAAGACAATATTACTAATAACAAGGTCTACTGATGGCTTTAACACTAGGTTGTCCAGATTGCGACAGCGTATTGGATTTTTAGTCCTGGCACAAATACAAAACAGTCCTTATGGTTTGGATAACGCGAAATTGTCATTTAAAGGTATGCGTTCGATTATATAACTTTTTTGAACACATGCATGTTCAAATGAACTAAATATGTTGACACTATAAACTTTGCCAGAAACTTGCTGCATTTATTGCAGTTAATAATAAATACAAATCAGTATAGTTTTTCTATATTCAAAATAAAGTTCATACGGAATATTTTGGAAGCAACTGAATTATACTATCGGTGTCGCGGTAAACGACAATTATTTATACTCTATTGCCACTTTGGTCGTAAAATACTGTTGATGGAAATGGTTCCTTATTAATAAGCTGCTCGTTGCTCTGTTTATCCGCAAAAGCCGGAAGTGTTTACAATTGACGTCACTGTTCTATCAATAGTTGTTTATGTTGCTTTATCTTCTTCTTGATTGCATACATTTTGTTTTTCCGCGTCGATACGTGCCAGGAACTTGAGAAAGTCAACCAAAAGTACTTGAATGTGTATAAAATGGTCACAATGCCACACTGATAATAACTTCGCAGTGTAACTAGAAACGAAGGTATGTGGGCGTATCCTTAGGACCCTATTCACAATACTTGTTTAGGCATTTGAAATATATTTCTTACTAATAATACGACAGGTTATCTGAAATTTTAAATGTTCCTTTTCTCAAAAATCGTTTAAAGCAAACATATGTCAGTGCAGTATTCCAAATGGTATATGAAGGATTAGATCATCCGAATAGCTTTGGAATAAAATAGAATTTGTTTTTCATATATGTTACATCGCAGTGAAATACTTTGTATCTATGACCCTCCCACTTTTTGGTACCGCACCAGTGGTGATCGCTGAGAGACTCGAAACACAGACCTTCTCCAGCACGAAGTAAGGGTTGTGATACATGGATAAATATATTCGCTTGACTTATGGAATATTATCGCGACAAACAAGAATGAAGAGAGAGTGGAAGTCATTTCATGCTGTAAATTGAGTATAAGGTTTGTTGAATATCTTGCACATCTGTTGCGGAGTACTTGAATTTGCCAAAACGTTATTGATTCAGCAGTATTTGTCAAATGAGTACCTATATCATTCAAAGACAATATTACTAATAGCAAGGTCTACTGATGGCTTTAACACTAGGTTGTCCAGATTGCGACAATGTATTGGATTTTTAGTCCTGGCACAAATACAAAACAGTCCTTATGGTTTGGATAACGCGACATTGTCATTTAAAGATATGCGTTCGACTATATAACTTTTTTGAACACATGCATGTTCAAATGAAGTAAATATGTTGACACTATAAACTTTGCCAGGAACTTGCTGTATTTGTTGCAGTTAGTAATAAATACAAATCAATATAATTTTTCTATACTCAACATAAAGTTTATACGGAATATTTTGGTAGCAACTGAATTATACTATCGGTGTCGCGGTAAACGACAATTATATTTATGCCCTATTGCTACTTTGGTCTAATAATGCTGTTGATGGAAATTGTTCCTTATTAATGAGCTGCTCGTTGCTCTGTTTATCCGCAAAAGCCGGAAGTGTTTACGATTGACGTCACTGTTCTATCAATAGTTGTTTATGTTGCTTTATCTTCTTCTTGATTGCATACATTTTGTTTTTCCGCGTCGATACGTGCCAGGAACTTGAGCAAGTCAACCAAAATTACTTGAATATGTACAAAATAGTCACAATGCCACATTGATAATAACTTCGCAGTTCAACTAGAAAAGAAGGTATGTGGGCGTATCCTTAAGGCCTTATTCACAATACTTTTTTAGGTATTTGAAATATATTTCTTACTAATGCGTTGAAAGCCAGGTTACCTAAAATTTTAAATGTTCCTTTTCTCAAAAATCGTTTAAAGCAAACATATGTCAGTGCAGTATTCCAAATGGTATATGAAGGATTATATTATCCGAATAGCTTTGGAACAAAATAGAATTTGTTTTTCATATATGTTACATCGCAGTGAAATACTTTGTATCTATGACACTCCCACTTTTTGGTACCGCACCAGTGGTGATCGCTGAGAGACTCGAAACACAGACCTTCTCCAGCACGAAGTAAGTGTTGTGATACATGAATAAATATATTCGCTTGACTTATGGAATATTATCGCGACAAACAAGAATGATTTTGAAGAGAGAGTGGAAGTCATTTCATGCTGTAAATTGCAAATATCTTGCACATCTGTTGCGGAGTACTTGAATTTACCAAAACGTTATTGATTCAGCAGTATTTGTCAAATGAGTACCTATATCATTCAAAGACAATATTACTAATAGCAAGGTCTACTGATGGCTTTAACACTAGGTTGTCCAGATTGCGACAGCATATTGGATGTTTAGTCCTGGCACAAATACGAAACAGTCCTTATGGTTTGGATAACGCGACGTTGTCATCTAAAAGTTTGCGTTCAATTATATATCTTTTTTGAGTACATGCATTTTTAAATGAACTAAATATGTTGACACTAACAACTCTTCCAGGAACTTGCTGCAATTATTCATCAACTTTAGTCGCAGTTAATAATAAATACAAATCAGTATAGTTTTTCTATATTCAAAATAAAGTTCATACGGAATATTTTGGAAGCAACTGAATTATACTATCGATGTCGCGGTAAACGACAATTATTT